TATAATCGATCTAACTTCTCTAGCTGCCTAAAGGCCTCGGTCATTAGTTCTTAATTACGAAGGCATATCTTGATCCTTTATAATACTGCACATACATATATTAATACTTGGCGTTTTATTTTCAATAACCTATTTGTTTTATTTGGATAACGAGAATTAATTAGTTGGGTCGGGTTATCTTATATCTCAAGAGAGACGCGGGAGAGAGAGGCATGGGGTTGGTTTTGGAGAGTTTTAGTGAAATGGTGATTGCGTATGGTTGTCGATTTTCTAATTAATGCTTGGACATTGGCTGTTTAATTTATTCTTAATTTCCAACTTCGTGCAGTTCGACTTATAATTATCCTTTGCCACATTTCTTCCTACCTTAATTTAGTTCTCTTCCACTTCAACGCGTCCCTTTAATTTCCAGTTTCTTCCATAGGTCTCATGCTTCTGATTCTTTTTTCTTTTCCTAACATATAATTACAATACGTACGTAACTATCAGCTCATATGTCCTAAAGTACAGTTCCCAGTTTTGCAGGGAGCAGAACAATCCCACACCCAAATTAAGATGAACAGATTCCATCCAATTATCCCCATTTTTTCACTTCAACTGCAAGATGATGGAAAAAATGCGAGGATGACATCTTATTCAATAGCTAAATTATTAAACTAATTAAGCACTTTATCAATAAACAAAATTCTATATATATATATATATTTACATATCGTTTCTGATCATTTCAGAGAGGGATGCCTGCAAAGAACATATGATGTGTCTGTTTCTTGACATATTTACATTCTATAAATATACAAATGTTTGGTATTTAAAATCAAAAGTAGAAGACTGGGGACCATATAGTGTTCCAATTAATTACTTTATTAAGTGTCTCTTGCATTTGACGTCAGAAAGGGATTCATCTAATCCTTGCCCCCAACAGACGTACAGCTGCCTCTTTTTCTTATTTTCCAACATTATATAAATGTGTATATGATCTCTCCTCTCTCTTTAAATTCTAACAATATCACAGATCTCTCAAACCCTCGATTCTCCTATCTGTGTCTGTGTCCCTAATTATTTCACTCTTTTGATGGAGATCAAACCCAGACAGCAGAATTCTTGCATGGCCGTCTCAAACAGGCCTTCCCTATCCACCAACAAGAATTCGCAGGCAATAGCGAAAACGAAGCCCAAGATACGCATAATTCACATATTTGCACCGGAGATCATCAAGACCGATGTTGGCAACTTCCGAGAACTTGTGCAGAGGTTAACCGGAAAACCATCTGCTGAAAAACGTGGTCAGAAGATGCCAGCAGCGGCAGCACATCAAGACGCAACGAGATCGAATGCCGGCGGCCTCACCTCCGACAAGCCTATTAAAGTGGGCAGTAAGGGGCTGCACGACGATTATCAGTCAACCGTAGGGGAGAGACTGGTGATGAAGGAGGAAGAAGAAGAAGAACAAGTTGGGGTTTGCAGGGAAGAAGCGTCTACAGGCGGCTACCTGGGTGGGTTTTCAGATTTGGAAGGCTTTGTTTCTGAGTTTGCTCAAATTCCCTTGCTTCCTCTGGATGATACTCACATTCATCAAGCCTATGAACAACTTCAACTTTAATTCATATACATAGTCATATAGGTCAGTATATATATAACAGTATAATTATATAATACATTCTTCCCCCGGCACCCCTATTTTTGGTTTCTCTATGACCTGGAGGTTTCACTTCTTCTATGTGTGATTTTATAGCGGTTTCTTTAAATATGATATGTAACTGGACATTTCATATATACATATATGAATCCCTCCCTTTCTTTAACATACTGTTGCATTCGTATAGAAAAAGTTATTAAAACCGGTCTGCAGAGAGTTGATCGATATGTTGCGTGTGTTAAGTATATAAAATTTAGTTTGTTTCGAGTGTCATGAGTACTGCTTCTCTGCGTTTTTTCTCATAGGACCCTCTCACAGTCGCCGAAGACGTACGTGCTGGGGAAGTTATGAATTGAAGGAGAATTTCATTCGATCAATTAGTTTATATCTCTTCCCATATGTGTCATTCTTCTGCAGATAAACTGTTATAACGAGATACACTGTTAAAACCGGATATTAGAAAAACAGTATGACTATTTTTTCAGGAAGGTGAAGTAAAATCAAAATGGTTCACTCGATCGCGAGCCTTGAAATCAAACTATTAGTTTGAGGAACCTTGCATGCATAATATTATATATCTCGAAATATGTTAATCGGTGATCAAGCAAATTCAGTTTATCTTAGTTTGCTTCCTTTATGAATGAGGGAACTCTCACGGCCTGTCTGCGAATTCGCGGTTTTTGGTTTCCTGCTCTTTTACAGATGCTTTATCTATCCTTGAAAAAATATTCACATCTTGTTTCAGAAGAGAAGCCAATCAGCTGGCAGAATTGGTTGAAGAAATTTTTATTAATAATCGTCTTTACTGATAAGCGCGCTCCATTTCAAAGTTCTCTTCGATTCTCCGTCATCGTGCCTACCGCTCAAACTCATTACCAGATTAGCTCCTTAAGCTTTGTATCTGTGTATGGTGTGTGTAAAAACGAAATTTTTAGGAATTATTTTGTACTCACTTATCATAACCACATTTTTATCCCAAAACAAAATATACTTTTTAATTTCTTACTTGAAGACATCTAATTTTAATGATATGTACGTATTGAAAAACCGTTGAATAATCTAAGATACCAATTTTTTAAATTATTTAACATGAAGCTGATTTATTTTTAAAATTAACGTAGATCAAGGTATAATCGAAAAATATCAATTATTGTTCTAAACTTTTAAAAACCCAGATGATTTATGTATGACAAGACACTCAACGAGGACTAGGAAAGTTGAACATAATATCATCTGAGTCTCTTAACATTTGATGTGTAATATTTCAATATACCAATTTTAAATAAATTTTTTATATGATATGAAATTGTGACTTTATCATCAATTTAATATGATAAAAAAGTAACTAAATTGATATTAAATTTCAAAATGAAAATATAATTTGATTCTTAATAAGATAATAAAAAGTTGAACGGATTTTTCCTTATCCAAAAATAGCTAGTTGAAGTTTTTATTTTTTTTATTTTGTAGCAGATGGGACAAACAGTAAAATAGTGATAGCCCAAATGGAAAATGAGTCAGGCCCACTTGGTCTGGTTAACTTGGGATACAAGCTTGGGCATGCGTAACTGAAAGGAAAAAAAAAAAAAAGAAGAACCATAATTATAAATTATAAATTATGTTTATAATAACATTAGCTCGTCCTTTCGACGAGTCAGTGAAGTCTTGCATTCCCGCCATGGAAATCGATTCGGAGAAGAGTCTCTGCAGAGCGCTTTGTGCCTACAACTCCATGGTTTACTGCTCTTCCACCCTTATTTTCTTCTCCCTTTATCTTTTCGTTCTTTTTTTTTTTTTAGCTGGTAGTTAGCTTTTTGTCCCACGTCTTGAAGCCTCTAGCTTGGTTGATGGAAATCTTGACAAATCTCTCAGAAAACATAGAAACAGAAAGAAATTATAGGAAGATCTCGCAGTTTCTTGCTTAATGCCAACCTGTTGTGCGCTCCGACAGCTATTTTTTTCTTCAGGTCTTATGTTCCTTGCCCCTCATTGCAGGATGAAGTGTTTGAAATTCAGAAAGAAACGTACAGGGGGCAGCAATACAGTCAGATTTACTTTGCTCGTCTTCACTTGATGAGAACTCTCCTGTATTCCCTTGTATCCCGGTGGAAGCCTCATTTACCTGGTACCTAATTTTCCTGTTTTGAACTTTCTAATAAGTATTTCGCGGAAAATATTTACAACACCCACTGTCAAACCTGTTCCAACATTTGTTTCAGTAATTTTCCATGGCTAGTCATTTGCAGTCTAGTTTAAGTGATTTTCTTTTGGGGATTACTTCAAAATCCTCGAGGGTTCCACTGAATATTCAATTATTCTGGCTTTTGCTTCCCCCTTCGCATCATTGGTTTGAAACCTCAAATTCTGGGAATAAAAAATTTAGTTCTTAGTTTACCAAAAACTAAAAAGTTTCTAGTTTATTATTTTGGGTTGTAAAGTTAAGCCCGTGCTGATGGCTCCTCCGCGAAGGTATTTAATTTTGGATATAGCACTGAATGAGAAGCTTCCTTCCTAGCCTCAACTCAACGATGTAATCTATGAAATTATTAAAATGTTCGTTGTTTTTTTTATTGTGTACATCAATCTTCATTTTAGGAAACTCTTGCTGGGGTTCTGGGTCATATAATTAGTTGTGGGGAAATCGAGGCTAGCTTTGCGATTTAATAATGCCAACACAATCCCAGTAAGAGGAGTTCTCTTTGCTTGTACTTCTCTTTGTCCTTGTAATTATGGTTAGAAGTTATTTACTGGTCTAGATTTGCTGCAGTATGCACAGTGTTGGGACTGGAGGAGGGCAAGGAATGTATCATCGTTGGAACCCTTTATAAACACATGAAGCTCAAACCTTGCATACTTGATGAGTACTCTAAGGAGGCAGGAATTTCTTTATGTTTTTTCTGTTCATTAAATTCAGAATAAAATGCAAAATTGCTATATATCTATGCTAATCATTTACAGAGATCTAGAACGCCACTTGTCAGGCCTCATAACTTCATGCACCCAGATGATCATCTAGTTTTGGAGGATGAAAGTGGGAGAGTTAAGCTCAGTGGGGATCTCATTTCACCTTCTGTGTATATAACAGGTCCGTATCTTGAACAACTTGTCTTACCCATTTGAAATAGCCTTCAGGATAGGATGGCCATCCCAAAACATTATTCCCAACTAGTCCAAAAGGACCAAAACATAGGTCTGGCATCTGTGGCTTCTTAACTTTTTTAAATACTGTTTAGGAAGGGGAAGTTGACTGGAACAATACTGGATTGCTAAGCAAATATGGACCATGGTCATGGGATAGGTTTATGTGAGTAGAAAGCTCTTCCCCCCCCCCCCCACACACACACACAGATATTTCTTAACAGTGAACCAGAATGGAAGCCTGATGAAATAAATGCCCCAAACATCCTGATACCCCACTAAGAAGACCAATGTATCAGTGGCCCAAATAAAACATGTATGCCTCATGCCACGCAATCCTCCTTTGACTTTGTTGTGGACATAATGGCGCCCCTTTAACTTGGCCTAAGCTGTTATATTTTTTAAGGTCTGAGTATTGCAGATAAAAAAAATTAAGTTATCCATTCAGGGACAATGAAAAAGGATGAAATATGTACAATTTTGTTGTATTTGTAATGTTTGAATGTTTGTGTCAAGTGAGCAAGCTTTTAAAAGATAGAGAACATGCAGAGAAAGGGGGCAATTAGAATAATTCCATACTGCATTCTATACAATTTTGTCCTAGATTGTACTGATATTCTATGAAAAAAGAGTTTTTTTTTTTTTTTTAAAAATCATGATGTGTTACATTACACTATATTTTTTGGCCATTTCCATTACATGACAATTTCTGCACTTTTCATGCGCCTTCATTAGCGGATGGGTGGCATCTCCAGCTTTGTTTCTTTTTCTGAGCTTATCTAGAATTCTGACATTTTTACTCTACGTTGCTTGTTCTCATAGAATTACAATGTACCTATCACGCAAATCATTGTCTGTTGATGCGTTATTGTAATATATTGACATTATGTGTGACAGGGATCGTAGTTGCTATACATGGGAAAGAAACTGGGGCTGGTGAGTTTTTGGTTCTAGATGTCCTGGAAGCAGGCCTACCACCACAAACAGAACTTCCTCTTAAATCAAGTACTTCTTCCTGATCTTTTACATCTCTGATGATTCCTTTACCTTGATAGAACGTGTGCATTGGTAGTTAGTTAATCAAAATGTCCTTCAGAAATTTTATTTTATTAATGTCTCGTGGTAGACTTTGATATTTTTAGTTAGTTAATGATTAGTCTGGTATGTTAATGTACGGTGTCTACTGTCTGCGCGAGTGAGCATGATGTAGATAAGTGACGCATTTTCTGCTCAAAACTGTTTTCTTTTCATCTGAGCTAAGAAGTTTCGATGATTGAAAATTTTGCTTCCTGATCAACAAGGGTAGACTGTCTTATGTTTTTCCTCTTTTTACCATGTCTGTCTTTTCATTTGACGTCATATGCTTGAACTTTTTCTTGAAGTGAAATTAGTTTCTTAAGTTGCTTAATATTTTGTCACACTTTGAAAAGTGCTTGCACTAAAGTTGTTGCTTTATGTTTCATTTGTCGTACTTTTATTAACTGGGTTGCAATGAGTAAGCTTGCCTTTTTGTGCTTCAAGCCAAATGTTTATGCGCATTCCTGTTGTAATGAAAGTGTTGGTGCAAAACTTTTTAACCTTGGTTTAACAGGGGAAGACAAATATGTCGTTTTTGTGTCCGGGTTAAGTTTTGGGAGCAGCAACTCCAATCCTCTCCAATTTCAGCTCTTCATTGATCATATTACTGGTCATTTAGGAGATGAGAAGGTTTATCCTGACATTTTTGAGCTTTCGTGCTAGTATTTAAATAATATGTCAAACTCTCAACTTGTCCATAACAAATTAAACAGGAGCAAATTTTGGCATCCCAAATCGTTCATGTTGTCATAGCAGGGAATTCTGTTGAGTTCCCTCGTGAACTTCTTAACGGGCAGGTATGCAGTTCTTTGATTTAGTTTTTTTAATGATAAACCACTTCAGCTTCTGACCTTTCCTATAATGTAGTTTTCTGTGAACATATCAGATCATTTTCTAGGGGGGAATTTAAATTTTTCGTCGGTACTCAATGTATCTGCTTTAACCTGTAGTCAAAACGGCAATATATATATGTATATATATTTCTCTATAGGCTACCCTTACTGAATTCTAATTAAATTTGCCCCAGCAACGTGCTAATCTTTCCCATTTAACAAACTTAAGGGAAAATCTGAACCTTTTTAGTTTTTGTTAATCGTATATTTAAAAATAAAACTTGTAAAGTCATTATGCTGCACATTTGCAGAATTTAGCTGCAAGGGATCTCTCAAGGTTGTCTGAACCAATAAAGGAACTTGATATTCTGTTGAATCAGGTTAATTGAATTTGCTTGATAGTTAGATATAATCTTTGTCTTTGCGAATCAAGTTGCTTAATGTTTTTATATGTGTTTAGATTGCTGTAGGTTTGCCTTTGGATATCATGCCAGGACCCATGGACCCAGCTAACTACGCATTACCACAGCAGGTTCTTATTCTATCCTTCAAAACTGTATGCAGGCTAATCTTTTTTTTTGGGAGGAGGGGGGTCTTTAATACTGTGATTTGTTCTTTTCAGCCTCTGCATAGATGCCTTTTCCCTGGGTCATCTGCTTATAACACTTTTAGATCCTGCACAAATCCTCACTGTTTTGAGCTTGATAATATTAGGTAATTGAAATTTTTCTAGCATCATTATTGTCTGCTAGAACTGTCTGTATTAAACTGAAACCTTACTGCTTCTAGGTTTCTCGGGACATCAGGTCAAAATATAGATGATCTTGATAAGTATTCAGAGGCCAAAGATAAACTTGAATTCATGGAAAGGACTCTACGGTGGAGACATTTGGCACCAACAGCACCTAATACACTCGGTATACATTACATATGCTGCAACGCTTGCTTGGTCACAGTTTCTGAAAATAGCTGTATATTTGCTGAAGATTCTAGAAAGCTAAAATCTGGAATTTTGTCTAGGTTGTCCTTGCTTCTGACCTTCATATTAATGTTTCTTCTAGGGTGCTATCCTTTCACTGATAGGGATCCTTTCTTCCTTGAGAGCTGTCCCCATGTGTATTTTGTTGGAAATCAAGATAAATATGAAACTCGTGTGATCAAAGGTATCTTGATTTTGAATTTTTCTTCTGAAAAATAGTTTTTATTTTTTATTTGCATCTAATATTACTTCTGCTTCTCTCTACACTGAATTCACAAGGGGAAAAAAAAATCATATATGATTGCATGTGGGTTTTGCAGGATCTGAAGGGCAGTTGGTGAGGCTCATTTGCGTTCCTAAATTCAACGAGACTGGAGTTGCTGTTATGGTGAGCTTTAATTTATTCACACAATACCTAAATCACTTCCACAAGGGTTTGAATAGCTTATCTCAAGGGTTAAATTAAATGTACAAATTAAACTTATCATTATGATAATGGCCTTCCGGCTGATCAATCTATCCTTATAAATGATTAATAAACTGGGTATGATTCTTAGCTGGAACTTTTGCGCGCTCCCTCTTATTGCTATCAAACCTTCTGTCTTTGAATAAAGTGAGTTTACCAAACAAAAAAAAAAAATATTAGAAAATAATGTAAATGATTTATGCCATCTTTCTTTGTTTCCAACTCAAGGGGGGTTTGAAAATCATGGAAAAATAGGATTATGCTGCATTGATATTATGCTTGTTAGCCTTGATAACTCAATTAAAAAAAGTCAGTTATTTTGGCTTTTTCTCATTTGATGAAAAACTGAGGCAAGAATAGGAACGAGAGAGCATTATTTTTTCCTGTTTGAATTTCATGGTTAAGACCTATGGTAGAGGTTTGCATCTGACATTATTCTTTATCAATACTTAAATTTCTTTCTTTTCTGCAGCTAAACCTGAGGGATCTTGAGTGTCATGCTCTTAGTTTTGGGACGCAATTCAGCTCTTAAATATGCGCAACGAAGTGGTAACTGAAGCTGTGACCTTAAAATTTTACCATTGGTCGAAGTATAATGTTGTTTTCCGTTAAAATAGTTATAACTGCGTTTTAACAATTCTAATCCGATTGATAAATATGTTCATAAATGTTTAGGAAGAGTTACATAATCCGTACAAGTTATGGTTTACCTACGCATGTGCTGAGTTTTCATTTTTCTGAAATGTGGATGTATTTACATCCCATCCCAGGCACGACAGCATACTACCGTTTACATGTTACGGGAAGTTTGTTAATTGCTGCCATCTCTACCCTTAAAGAGAAAGCCAAAAGGTGTAAATTGGTGCTCAAAGCTGACGAGGGAATTTTCCTAGTGTAATATATTGCTGGTGTAGTGCTCTAATTTATACACTTTGAGTAGAGTTTTTCCAGCTCGTAGTTGCAAGTTTATACATTTGGTGTAACAGTAACGTTTTGGGAAACTAGGATTGTCTTAATCAGAGGGGATTGTAATTTCCAGCGTAACATCATTTATTACCATACTTTTTTCAGTTAGTGCGGTGATAACGGGTTCATGCAGTGACAACTACACAGCCACCTCAAAAAAAATCTATAATCAAAATATGCTCAGATCCTAAATGTAAGTCTTATTTTGTAGTGTAAATTATATTATAAAATAAGTTTTATATTTAAGACCGGAAATTTTTTTTTTTTCCGTTGCTAACAGTCATAATAAGGTATAACGTATGCTGTGCATGCCTGTTTCCACAGCCACTTGCAAAGTACAAAAATAATATTTCTATACACCCGTTCCGAAATAAAGCCATCAACTTGCGAGACTTGTACACGTTTTGAATAGTTTTTAAAAATAAATAGAACACTGCTTTTCTTTTGTATAATCAACAATTTTATTATTGCTTATGTGTCGTTGACAAGTCCGATCTAAAACCATCTGCCGGAATTGTCAACCTGGATTTCTATATCGTAGCTATCAGGAAGTGACGTGCCATGCCCCACAAATCATTGTAAACTCATGCCCAACGGTTATATATTTCTTTGGATTATTCTGTATTTGTCGTCTAGTTGTTGGCATTACCACAACGGTTCGTTTTCCACATATCAAGAATACTCCACTCCTATGAAAAATATCAAAATTTTAATCATACGAACCAAACATCATAAAAAGAAACTTAAAGCAAAACCATTTTGCTCACAGTGGATATTGCTGTTAAAGTTCAACATATAACCAAGAAGTCGTCGGATGAACTCCTCAGAAAGTTTGCTGACGGCTCCGACCATGAGTCCCAGAAGAAAAAGATTTGTGTAGAACCAAACGTCCAAATAAATATTGGGCCGTGATAGATGACAGTCAATGTGAGAGCCCATCAAGGGGTAGCACCCCTATAATGGAGAGGAGGTCGTTTCCGCCGACACGGAGGCCGGCGATGCTCCGGCAACTCTGGATTGGGAGGGCACAGCTCAGGCCGAGGGACGACAGGAACAAGTTTCTCTTGGCAATCATTGAAAAGGTGAGGTTCATTCACCTTAGAAAAATCTCTACTATTGCACTTGTTGATCACCAATGTGACTGGGAGGCCCTACTACAATTGTTCTGGTCTGCAAAATAGTTAGCTGCAGACGGTCATTAGAAAGTCCAGGTGTAAATGTATAATTGAGATAGGAAACACTTCATTGGAATCAGTTTAAGGAGTTGGGTGAGAAGACTAGAAATCACATTTGTTATGTTATCATAGTTCATGAATATCAGCTTGGAATGCTCTCTTGTTTCTTTTTAATGCATTCAATGACATACTGACAGCCTTTGCCTGGTTTCATGATCCAAACCAGGCGTTACACTTTCAGCACTGGAAAATTTCCTAGACCAGGGAGACTTGCGTTTGTGTGAGAGAGAGAGAGAGATTGTAACTTTCAATCCTCTAATTGTGAGAGAACGAAATTATAATGTATTAGACATCTAGTCCATTTGGGAAAACAGCTTGTTGAAACATGAAAGATGACACGTGTGGATGAAAACCAAAGTGATGATGATGGAACTTGTCGTTGGCCTTTCTATTATTGCTGTATAAAAGATGTCATTGCCAGTGCTTTTAATTCATTGCTTCCTGCAGATGTGGCGTAGAACCATAGAAGTGGCCTCTAGAGTTTTCATTGACAAGCATTATTATCGCCACAAGATTCTGAACTGCGACATTTCTTAACAAGCTCCCAGAGATGCCACCTGGCACTTCCTATTTCTTCAACTGTGCTCATCCTTTGTGTAATTTCTTGTACATTACTCAATTGATGCTATTTCTTTCATCTCAACCTTGAGTCCTTCAGGAATTATATTCCATGTACTTGTGATCGTACTCCATACAAAAGTACATAATACTGGCCTCGTCTCGTGAACCCTTTTCTCCTTTTTTGCTCAGCTCTTTTGAACAGGAAGCTGCCTGGTGATTTATTTGGCATACCTAAATCCTTACCCATCTCAACCAACTTCAAAAAGTTCTCACTTGACTCTACCATTGAATATCACATTCACATCACCTATTCATGTACCTCTAGTTTTGGTGACTTTCGATCTTGTAGGAGAAAACACATGAACTCAGCTTTACATCGGAATCAATTGTTATGTTCGTTTAGCGTCAAGAAAAAAAGTGCTTGTATAATTTGAAGAGAGAAAAAAAGGACCCAAGCAAATATAGTAATTTGACAACAAAAATATGCTCCCAGGATGTCATGCACTGAGCCGTGCGGTATAAATGTAATAGATGGGTTTTTGGGTATCAAATGGTCCTACCTTCCTTCCATCTTAAAAAAAAAAAAAAAAGGGTCCCGACTTCCTAGGTAGCAACTACGAACTTTGAAAGTTTGAATGCAGCTGTAAAAGGGAGGGATTAAATAAGATTAGCTGAAAAGTGAAGGAAGAAAAAACCGAATATTATTGAAATGAAGAAAGAGGCCTGTGATGCAGAAAAGGCCACTTCACAAGCCACATGTGTTGAGTTACTTTCCCTTTCTGTTCTGGAAAACAACATGCCCTCTACCACTGCTCTGCTAATCTCTTCCCTTTTATCATCCCACCTTGTTGAATAATTTATATGCCACAACTACTCAATCACACGTGTCCATTTTAGCCCTTCGATCTCTTCGGGAATATATGATATGCTATGGCCAATATTCATCCCGGATCAAAAGCTACCCAAAACAATTTCTTACTCTCAAACACGAAGAAAAATTGAACCTTTTTTATGCAGATCACAGGTCATTGGACCGGAAAGTCAAATGGGCAAAGCAAATGGCATCTGTTCATTTGGCATTTCATTCGGATCATCAAGAAGGAAAAAAAAAAACCACTTGGTGAGCGGTACTGAAACTTTGGACCAACAAATGTTGCACGCAAACGCTAAGATTGAAAAGCAACCTAACCTAAACTTCATATAAACAGACGCAATCTCAATCATTACTGATAGGGTTCAATCCTCTAGAGGAAAAAGTTCACAACTTTGTTACATCTAGTAGCAGGTGCTGACAATGTTGATCTGCCAAGATGTCACAATGTTTCCATATAGGCCTAAGCAGGCGAGCAGCTGATCTTTTACACGGGTTCACTCAGTTTTAACAATCATATCAATGGCAATTATGTAAATAGACATTTGTGAGCAAACAGAAATGTGGACATCGGAAATTTGCATTAAAAATTATTAGTAGGAGGAGGGGAGGAAAATTGATGGGCGCTTCTCTTTCTTTCATCGACTTCATAACAAAGTCAACACAAGCTTTTGTCAACTTTCCTCTTCCTTTCACTACCCGACTCGCACGCAGCAAGCATTCTGTAATCTGCGCTTTCTCTGGAAACCTTGGTTTCTTGCTTGTATGAAGAGAAATCCTCTGCTCAAACCCTTTTGATCCCCACATGTGTTCTCTCTTCCTCGCAAACGCCATGTTTGACCCCTTCCGTTCTCTCTCAACTCTATAAAGAAAACCACTCATTTCCTTCTAAACTACTAGGATCAGATCTTTTGTTGTTTTGAAATTCTGATCGTAAACTCTATCTACTCAAATCCAAAGTTGATTCTTTGATTCGTTCTTTGTTGGATACGAAATTGCGAATTTCCTTTGTCTCTTCATATCACTGCTTATTTAATTAGTCTCCTTTGTCCACTAATTTTAGTCTGTTGCTAGCGAATTGCAGTCTTGCCAATTTTTTTCTTGCTTCAAGCAGTCATCTTCAAAATGCTTTCTTTCCACCACCATCTGTACTCTCGATTAAAGCATTAAAATTTCATGCTTACGGATTTAATATTCGAATTTCTGGGATCCGCAGTGTCTTGTCTTGAGGAATCCGGGTTTTCCTGTTTACCATCAGCACTTAATTTCTTCTAGGGATTTGTTAGAGAGGGAAATGTGGGATGTTTTCGTGGTTGGCAAGGATAGTTTCTGCGTGCTTGAGGCCGGTCAGGCGGTATGCCCGCATGAGCAAGGATGACGTGGATGATCCTTCCTCGATTGAAGACACTTTGCTTTGGTATAAGGACCTCGAGAAACACTCGTGCGGCGAATTCTCTTATGCTGTGGTTCAGGCCAATGAAATTATCGAGGATCACAGCCAGGTCGAGACTGGCTCCGACGCAATGTTTATCGGAGTGTACGACGGCCACGGTGGTCCCGAAGCGTCTCTGTTCATCAGCGAACACCTTTTCCATCACCTAATGAGTGAGTATTATGGAATTACATACTAAGTTGTGGCCTCATATCACTCAACGGGATTGATTTGCTCCATTATCATCATTGAGTGTCGACTTTATGGACTCCCTGGATGTATTTTCTTCTTTTTTCCCGTCTTATTCCTAGGATGGTCCTCTGGCTTATATGGTCTCGGCGTCAGATGGTTTTGTTGCTTTGTTTATGATGCCTGTTATGCTATTGCAGGAAAGCTAGTTGAAAATTTACTTTGCTTTCCCATTTAAAAGCACAACGCAGGGTAACATTGCTTTCGTCTTCCTCCTCCTTCACTTCTCTTTTCCTCGAGGATGTTTCTTGAACTGAGGGAGTGAGGATCTCCACGAGAGGGGGGGGGGGGAGACAACAATTATTGATTGTATAGCAAATGAGTAAAGACTGGAAATCTGTTTTCAGAACCATCCGTCACCCAGTAGTTCATCCTCGAACCGACTAAATAAGATTTTTATGTGGTATTTATTCTCCTCAATCGGTCGTCATATACTCCTTTTGTAGTCTTTGCAGATTTTTGACGTCATTTAAATTTAATGGTTTCTTTTAGATAATAAAATAGACGATCCTCTTCTGCTTTGAGGATGCATTGAAAAATTACGTTTCCATTTAAGATTATCCGTAAATTTGCAGGGATAGCTCGAGATAATGGTACTATATCTGAAGATATCCTGAGAGGTGCTGTTTCCGCGACTGAAGATGGATTTCTAACTTTTGTTCGAAGGACTTATGGTATAAAGCCATTGATGGCAGCGATCGGTTCCTGTTGTCTGGCTGGTGTTATTTGGAAAGGGACTTTATATGTCGCCAACCTTGGAGACTCTCGTGCTGTAATTGGTTCTGTAGATAGATCTAATAAGATCGTTGCTGAGCAGTTGACTAGAGAGCACAATGCTAGCAAAGAGGAGGTTCGACGTGAACTTAGGTCCTTACATCCTGAAGATTCGCAGATTGTAGTTATGAAGCATGGAACGTGGCGCATTAAGGGCATCATCCAGGTTTTCTTTTCTTTTCACAAGGACTTGTTAATGGTTCATGTTCATTATGTTTTCGTTTTTTACTTGTATTTCTATGAAGTATATGTAGGTTTTGAAGATTATAAGCATGCTCTTTCAAATATGTGACTGGGAATATCGAATCTGACATTTAGTAATCCATCTTATGTTAGCATATGATGGACGGGATGGTAGGTGATGTTCCTTTCTATTTTAGGTGGAATCCTTACCCATGATAAACCATGCTTCTAGCAAAACTTAGAGCATACATGAACGCGTTTTTTTCTTGGCAGATGCATTCATGTATTTGTTTGTGCGTTTTCAAAATGGAAGTATTTAATATGGTTTAGCACAAATTTATGGAAATTATGGCGCATTTGAAGTATTCATTACTTATGTATGCTACCAAGGGTTTGAGGGACTTGGTATTCATGACAGATTACCTCACAATTACAACTGCATATATGATTTTATTTTTAGTCTGTCATTTTTTGTTTTTTCAAGTGATGCCTGGTGATTTTGATTTCTGTTACCTTCTAATCTTATCAAATCATTGTATATGATTGCTCATAACTCAAGCAGTTTTCTGATTCACTCCACATCATTCAGGTATCTAGGTCTATAGGCGATGCATATTTGAAAAGACCAGAGTTTTCTCTTGATCCTTCGTTCCCACGATTCCACCTGCCAGATCCCATCCGGCGGCCTGTGCTGACAGCCGATCCATCTATATGTTCAAGGGTCCTACAACCTAATGATAAATTCCTAATATTTGCTTCTGATGGACTTTGGGAACACTTGACAAATCAGGAAGCTGCGGAGATCGTTCATAACAATCCTCGAACGGTATGCTTTTGTCCTACTACTTTGTTTCCATTGATACTGACAAGCAGCAAACTAACCTCGTTCACCATGATGCTTTTCTTGGATGTCAGGGGATAGCAAGAAGACTGCTCAAAGCCGCCCTGAACGAGGCGGCTAGGAAGCGAGAAATGAGGTATAAAGATCTGCAGAAGGTGGAGAGGGGGATCAGGAGGTTCTTTCATGATGATATCACGGTTGTGGTTGTCTTCATCGACCACGAGATGGTTGGGAAGAATATTGCTGTGCCTGAATTGTCCATCAGGGGCTTCATTGACACAGTTGGTGCATCCAATTTTAAGGTCGTTCGGGATTGACGATTGACATCAATGCAATGTTCACTCTATAGTTCTTTTACCAACGAACTTGAACGACTCTGCTTGTTTTATGGGGAATTAAGTTCAGAAAGTTGCAATTCACATTGACATTTTTGCAGGATCTCGTCCTTGTTTATTCTGAACACTTCTTGGTGCCTAACCTTTACAAATTGACACCTTATCGCTTGGTAGACTGGCGCTTTTTTTTTGTTTTTTTGAGTTGGAAAGGGGGGGTCTTTGAGGTTATAGAGAAGAGACAGACATTGAAGTGTGACAATGCCTCGTTTGTTTGAATAAAGTCCGATAATTTGGAGCATGATTTATATTGCGCATTGCTGATTAATACTGATATAGATGTGTGAGTCGAGGGCCTTCCTTTATAGTCATTGATTCACGATCATGCGTACAAAGTGGGCGGAAAATGAGTAATTGAAGTTTTTATAATTTTATTAAAATTACACAAATCTTTCTTTTTTAAAATTATGCCTTTTTATCTTGTCTGAATGAAGTAGAAGAATTTCAACTAAATGGCAGAGGCGGTTCTTTGATGCTTGATCACTGGCAAACTTTTTACTGATATTGCTTCTCCAAAACGCGTTTATATGCGTTTGCTCTGCATGAGTGGAGGTGGCGGCGGCATAATCTCGTTCTGCATATTCTATGGTTGGTGATTTGTGTCTTGTCCTCTAATTCTCGCCCACTTCAACTTTCTTTTATCTGGTTTTCTTGCAACTATGGAATTCATACCGCTTTGGCAACAAACAAGGAAGCCACTGGTATTGCTCGCTTGACCTCCACCCACGAAGGCTTTTTCGATTTCCGAGGGAGTGAGAGCAGAATAACATATTGGAAGTCCGAGGATGTTCCGACTAGCGACATCTTCGATCAAGGTAACTTATTAAATCATATTTTTAATTATCTTATCGAGTTTTTGCTTTTCATTTGTGTAACGTAAGTTGCACCATAAACTAAATTTTATATTTTAAAAAATTTATATTTAAAAGTGGAGGTAGTATATCATTATCGTGCACAGAAAAAGATTGCCTGTTGTATCATTAAGAAAAAAAATTGCCTATTGGACCAAAAAAAAGAAAAAAATTGCCTAATTTCCTATCAAAGCTTAATGGCAGTCGAGACAATCCGCTCGTGCTTAATTTGTTCCCAAAATCCGTGATATCCTCGCAAACTAGCCAGCACCAAGTACGCATATCAACTCAAGGCGTTGGTGATCAATAATTTTTATTCCAGTAATTCAAAAATCAAGTACATAATCACTATCTCAATATAGCTCATCAAAAGAACTGCTGATTCAACCTCCCAAATCGGTAACCATGCACGGCTCTTCTACCAAAAAAAGATGGGTCATGCCAGGAGAAACAAAACAACAAAATCTTACATATCTTGCCTGTTTTTCATGCTCTTATCCCGTCATACGAGGGGCAAAAACACAGAAAGAAACATGATAAAAAGGAAAAAGTTCAAGATAGGAATGAAACTTCCGCAACCAGTGGGTGCTACTTCTGTCGTACAAAATCTACTTTGTGAATTTCGGATCCACTTTTTGCTTTCCATAATTAAAAGCATTTCCTGTGAACAATTGATGGCCCGGATTCATCGTACTCAGCCTTCGCAATCCACATCTGCACTCAGGAATGATTGCATATCAGAAATACTAGAAACTAGATTAGAGAAATTATCAACTTAACAGTTCACCTCTAGACCCCTGTGAAATGAAATATGCTCCTCGGCTGGTTTACTTAAAGTAAGTAGAACAGTGCCACACTCAAAATTAGGCCCGAAACAGAATAACATTGTGTTTGATTGCTTCCCTTAATCTGACTATTATATTTGGTTTATCCTCTTCGTTTACTTGATCAAATTAATCTTCGCTCTAGTCATAAAATTTTCCTATCAAATTAGCGGCATTATCTCAGTAAAATCAAACAGTTCCGTAACACGTATTAACATATATGCGCGAGCGCACACTACCTGTTGGAAGGTGCTGAGAGATGCCAAAATCGAGCCTCCAATCCAAACGCTATACTTCCGCTCCGGTGGTGCAACCACCTTGATTTTCATGCTACTAGGCGCTAAAGCTGTGATCTCCTTACTCATTCTATCAGCAATGCCTGGGAACATTGTGGAACCACCACTCAAGACAATGTTACCGTAGAGATCCTTCCTAATGTCAACGTCACACTTCATGATCGAGTTATATGTTGTTTCGTGTATGCCAGCGGCTTCCATCCCAATCATGGATGGTTGGAAGAGCACTTCAGGGCAGCGGAATCTTTCAGCGCCTATCGTGATCACCTGCCCATCAGGGAGCTCATAGCTCTTCTCGACAGCTGAGCTGGTCTTTGATGTTTCCAGCTCTAGTTCATAATCAAGCGCAATATAGGCTAATTTTTCCTTCACGTCTCTCACAATTTCACGCTCAGCACTAGTGGTGAAAGAGTATCCACGCTCAGTCAAGATTTTCATCAAGGCATCAGTGAGATCACGCCCTGCAAGATCCAAACGCAAGATTGCATGTGGGAGGGCATAGCCTTCATAGATGGGAACCGTATGACTAACACCGTCTCCGGAGTCCAGAACAATACCTACGAAGGCATATAAACAGCATTGTCATCTCGTTCCATATAGCAAAGCATTCCGTGCTCCTAAAAGAAAACTTCTGTTTCCCTAATCATTATAACTGCTTTAGAAAAAGCACAATAACAGGAAAAATACACAAACAAACAAATGCATCAAACATCATCATTACCCGCAGCTATTAAATTTTAAGATCGGTAAATTATCCCAATGTTAGAGACTTAAAAACAGAAAATAGATGCTGATGATTCGTTACCAGTTGTGCGGCCACTAGCGTAAAGGGAAAGGACCGCCTGGATAGCGACGTACATGGCTGGAGTGTTAAAGGTCTCGAACATAATCTGAGTCATTTTCTCACGATTAGCCTTGGGGTTGAGAGGTGCTTCTGTCAGGAGAACAGGATGCTCTTCCGGGGCCACACGGAGCTCATTATAGAAAGTGTGATGCCAAATCTTTTCCATATCGTCCCAGTTGCTGACAATGCCATGCTCGATAGGGTATTTCAGAGTCAGAATACCTCTCTTTGACTGAGCTTCGTCCCCGACATACGCATCCTTCTGTCCCATACCAACCATCACACCCGTGTGGCGAGGGCGACCCACAATGCTAGGGAATACAGCCCTTGGAGCATCATCTCCAGCAAACCCAGCCTACAAAGTTGAGATATTTAAAATGATACATACTTTAGCGACATGTATCTTCATAAGATCCTAGATGACCACAAGCTCGGATCCTTACCTTGACCATTCCCGTTCCATTGTCACAAACAAGAGGCTGAATATCCTCAGCGTCTGCCATTTTTTATCGATTGTTGCAGACAAGCACCGATCTTAAACCAAAATATTAAAAATATATATATCAGGGAACAACAAAACAAAAACAGAAATAACATGGAAACAAAGAAGAGCCATTTCATGAGCTATAGGGGTAAAGATTAATCGCGAATTCCATCAGCTAGAAGCTCAAATCCATGGGCATAACGAAATCCAGATGCAATCATACAGAGTAGCTCTGGGATGCCGCGCAAAGGATCGTCATTTGTAGCCTTTACCGCTATTGAACTCGCAAGAGACATAAAAAGATACCGACGGATTCATTCAAGACTCTAAGCAGCTAATGTGGCACATGTCCGATCTCAAAAATAGCCGATGCACATGCCATTATGATCAGAAAACCTTGAAATAACAGAACGTTTTGAAACTTCCCCAAATTTCTTGTTTTTCAACACATTCCTATCGCATTCTAATATCTTACAATGGACGAAAAATAGAGAATCAATTGGATCAAATGATGCTCGTTCGCGATATTGGATCAGAATGGAAAAGTTATTCCATTTATACAAAAACAGAACAATAACAAGGTTAAGACATCTGCAATTCGATCATAACAAAAAGATTAGGCTAATTAAAAATCATGGATAAGAATGCGAAAACAGAGAAGTCGGGGTTCTTAATGTTCTGAATTCATTCACCCAATGACGAGAAGGAAAATAGGAGAAGGAGGAGGAGAAGAATGTGTACCTCTGGAATAAAATGAGATGCGGGAGTGTGCGTTGCTTTGGGGAGTGTCTTGTTTCTTGTACTTCTCTTTTAACGGACTTTGCGACTGTGGCCGAAGTACCCGCGTCTCGTTTAAAAAGGGACGTCCGGTTCCCGAAATGAAATTCAACTCAAATGAACCGCAAATTCGCCGTCCTCAAATCCTCGCCGTCTGTCTCAAGTGTCTCGTTCGCGGACCCACACCGCCAAATTACATACAGCTGGCACACCTGGCCCCTTTTTTCCCGTTATGACCGATTTCTCGCTCCCATTTGTTCTTATCACCTATGCTGCCCTCATCTTAGCAGTATTGGAACACTGCCTTGTATGAGTCCAAAACAAAAAAAGAAAGGAACACTGCCTTGTATGATAATTGAAAACCCACTTGTGTCAATTAATTATTGATTGAAACTATAATTAAAAGTAAAAGACATTTGAAGTTGTGCTAACCATGATATGTAATAAACAAAAATAATTAAAAGTAAACTAAAATTTTGAACACATCAACTAATTTTAACTCAACTTTTTAGTATATGTCAATTCCAGACTTAAGTCTTCTAAATTTAACAGAAAGAGTAATACTCTTTTGATTCTCAGGGATGTTTGGATAAAAACCAAACTGTGTTTCAGAAGTGTTTTTACGATTTACGAAGTAAATATGTTGAGGAATTTGTCTCGTTTTGTGAAAAAGTACTTCTGAAATTATAGTTTGGAAGTTGCCAAACACCCCCTTAATATAAGACTTATTTAGCTAATTTGATTATATTAAAAAAGTTAGGTAAGTTAGTTAATTATAAGAAATATGATATGTTTTTCTTGAAATACCATAATCATCTTTTTTAATATCCTTATTCTCTCTTCTATTTGATTATGATAAGTATCTATAGGAAAAATTTAGAAAAAATATTGCTAAATATGATAAATAGGTCTTATATTTAGAATTATAATCAACTCAATAATTAAGTCATATATTAAAGATTATTAGAGCATTCAGACTACGTTTTGACTCTTGAATGCTAGAAATATACTAGTCTTTGAAATTTGTACCTTTTCCCCCTTAATTTTCAATGCTTAATAGATGGGCACATTTGCTCAAAAAAAAAAAAAGATGGGCATTACTTATTATCGTGGAGCTTCATTATGCATTGCCATGATACCGTCATACAGATTTGCTAATTATCCATCAATCGTGCGCATCCGTGGGTCCCTAATTTATGCATACTAGCGTATAACAAGCAAGCCTGGCAATCAATAGAACTTCTCGTCATGAGATTTCTTCATGAAATTGCATAGCAATTGCTGTTTCCAGTTCTAAATATAAAAATCAGTTGACTAATTTAAGAATATTAAGAAAATAAGTTAAGTTGATTATTTATAATAAATAGATGTTGTCTTTCTTAAAATATCATTGATAATTAAGTATATTAGTTAGAATTACTATTATTAGAAAAACTACCTTAAAAAAATATGAGAGACAAAATAGATTTGGGTCTTATATTTAAGACTAAAATAAAAATCAAAAGGGATCTTATATTAAGAACCAAAGGTTGTATATCTATTATGCGTTCCTATAGAGCTATACATGCATATTAAATATGTATTTTTAAAAAATTATTAGTATTTACGAAACATGCTGTCAGAAGGCGGCGCGTGAGGAAAAGTTGGATGTTTGACCATTACTTAGAGTTCAACAAAGGATCCGATCGCCGTGATGAACATCTGGCTCCCCACTCTATGAGCCAATTGGAATGCATTCAATCAAACACGGGCACAACCTCCCCACAGTACTGAGTCGGCATGGTGCCTTTGGAAAAAGAAACCACCCCCCTCCTTTGTTTCCCGGGGAAAAAAAAACAAAAAACAAAAAACTAGTTGCTCGTTTCATCTAAATCAGCAAAGGAACGAGCAAGCCATCGAATGCCTAGTTTTGTTCGTTTGTAGTTGTCCTCCTCAATTATTGAAGAGGGAGAGCTAAATAAAGCGATTTTCTTGGACCACATCTGTCAATGGGCAACACGACCGAGCAATAATATGTTCAACATGTACAATTGTTGCATGCCATGGCATTAACATCTTGATTCGCGACTTGGTCTAATCAAGTGTTTGAATCCAAATATGCATGCTTCTATTTAGTCTGAGTTTTTTTGGTCCAATATTTAGTCTGAGTTAACCTAAGAGAAAAACACAATGTAACCTAGACTACCTGCAGGGCTTGTGTTTATTGAATCATGGGTCATTTATGTTTGAACATTTTACTTAGGCATATAAATGTTTTTATATATTATCAAGTCATATTATTTTAATTACGATCACATGGGTACAATTATGGTAGAATTACCTGTCCTTTAATTTTTGGCTAAGAAATGTAAATAATAATGAGATATCAGTTAATTAAAATTTACAGTAGTGGCAAAGACTTCTGCGGAGGAGCAGTGCAAGCAAATTAATGAATCTAAGAATTGGTAATTCATTTATCTCGTAATATATTTTGCGCGTGTGCGTGTGTGTTCATCGGCCCTTTAAAATAAATAAATAAATAAAGAAAAGCGTTTTTCCACTCCCTTCAAAATTCGACGATAACCGCGACCCGTCAGGATTTGGAGGCACCTGCTTGCTTGCTTGGAGAACAAATCCATGTCTGAACCGAAACAGTCTCATCTTATCTCTTTCTCTGTACCCGCTCTAATCAAATCTCCTGAGTTGTAGAAAAGCAATGCTGAAAGCTATTCAGATCCTGGGATGTTCATCTAGCTTAGTTACTCAACGTTGGAAACCCTTTAGCAGCCAAGGTCTCCCTTCCATTGCAATCTCGTTCAAACCCTTCTCATCTTTCTACGCAGTATCTTTCCTAAAAGCACTTCCCACGATGGATTCTTCGCTCCTGCCCAAAGATTCGACTCCTATGTCTCAATCAAGATCAATCCATGCTTCCTCAGCTCGTTCTGACTCGAATCCAGATGGCACCTCGTCGTCTCCTCCATCACCATCCCTTGCAGTTCAGTCATCGGTGAGTTTTCTCTAAGGCCCATTTATAAGTCGGTAGATATGTTCGATTAAAATCAACTGTTAATACGGATTTCTCTGGTCCACTCGCTGGTCATTCTTTCCTTCCTTAGTTTCTATTTTCTTTTGTTGAGGCGGGTGCAAGAGGCTTCTTGAAGAATTAGGTTCCAGAGAAGATCATCGCAAAATGCGTTGACCTTTGAATCTTAAATAATGACATTATCTATAGACCCCTTAAATTACAATGTCGCAACAAGAATGCATGTATTATTTTTTTCTTGGCCATCTTTTTTGAAACAATTGGTCATATTTTGGGCTCGTTGCAATTTAGGGAGTTCGAAACATCAAGTTCTGTCAGTGGTGTGGTGGTCCAACAAAGCATGATATACCTGAAGGAGAAGAAAGGTTGAGAGCAATATGTACAATTTGTGGGAAGATTATCTATCAGAATCCAAAAATGGTGAGTAGGTAAAATCACTGGTGCTTCCATTTGATTTGCTTCAGTGATTCAGTCCTTGTGGAAAAATAGGATATTGGTAGCTTGTTTACTGTGAGAGTGGTGCTATTTGGACTCTAGCTTGTACAATTACCAAAAATTAAAGCTAATTTGCTTGAATGCGCCTGGTATGTGCAAAATTATCTCTCTCAAAGTGGAAGATCAGGACTGTGTGAGGTTTGGCATCACAGCTATGTGATGAGGGCTTTAACACCCCCGGCCCCTCAGGGTAGGGCGGTTTAATTACACACCTTACGTTGTTTGACTGGGTCTTCTTTATCTGTTTTGCTAATTTCTCAACGGGTGATTCATACTCTTTGGTTGTTAAAATATTATTTGCCCTTGAATTTTAATAAGGACGTTGGTTTTTATCATAATCCCTATCAGGATTCCTTCTGAAAAATATCAATAATACGTATAGACAGCATGCATATTGAAGTTCAGCCTTGAAAAATAAGGTCTAGTAGAGGCTCTTGTTCTAGTTGTATGCAAATAAAGAATGATTCATTCAAAAGGATTGCCTAAACTTAGTCAACATTCGAGTGCCATGTTGGTTTGAGGACATTGATTTTTCCAACATGTCACAGGTTCGAGACTCTGGAGAAGGAGGATTACCTAAACTTCCACCCAAGTTGATTTAGGACGACCTTATAGATGAAAGTGTTTTACAGTATGCTTTGTTTATATGCTAAGGCTTTTGCTGAGTTTCTAAAACTTAATATGTTGTCCGCAAAATATGCTGTAATAATTGTATATTGTTCGTCAGAGCATTTATTTCACTTCATGTTTTGCCTAAAAACCTTACTACTTTCTTGTGAATATGTCATTATTTGGATGGCAAAGTAGGTTGTTGGTTGCCTCATACAACATGATAACAAGGTCCTGCTTTGCAAGCGGAAGATTCAACCATCTTACGGTCTTTGGTAGGAATGAAATTAATGCTGAATTGCATATCTTCATTACTATATCTTGCAATTTTCTTAGGACATCTGATTATAAATTGAGATTGTAATTTTCTGTTAAGATGAAGATTGCTTATGAGTGTATATTGAGTGTTAATTTCTTGGTGTCAAAAAGGACGCTTCCTGCGGGGTATTTGGAAATTGGAGAGTCAGCCACGGAAGGTGCTATCAGGGAAACAAGGGAGGAAGCAAATGCAGAAGTGGAAGTACTGTCTCCTTTTGCTCAATTGGACATTCCTCTAATTGGCCAAGTAAGAACAAATAATGTTTTATTTTCTTTTTTATTGTTAATACTTATTTATTCACCATTTTCTTAACTAGCTAAAGAAGTCTGGCCATGACTAATGCATGTTTGAAGCAGACTTATATAATCTTCTTAGCAAAGCTAAAGAAGCCCCACTTTTCTCCTGGTCCAGAATCATCAGAATGCCGGCTTTTCTCACTTGATGATATACCTTTTGATTCTTTATCTTTTTCATCAATGGTGGTTACCTTAAGTATGGTATGATTCAGATATTTGGACATTCATTACATTTTGTGATTGTTATTGGGCTATTCGGATATTTTACTACTCAATTTATCTTATGGTTTTATCTTATGTATGCAGTATGCGGAGGATATTAAGTCTGGAAAGCTCAAATTCCATTATGGTGTCATTAACAAGAGGTATTTTCAACATATCTCAAATTTCTCCACGTAATTTCCATCTTTTGCATTGTCTCATTTCAAGGAAGAAAATTATCGAGTTCTTGAAAAACTAGTAACACTTGACTTAGGCTAAGGACAGGAAACGGTATCAAACTATACAGCTCAGCTAGTTGTTGTGCTGTCTAAAACTAGGCATGTTATTCTGCTCCAGTGCTCTGTGACTTTTGTTATTACCTAAATGAATATGCATAAATTAGGACTGGTAAATATTTATAATCCTTGGATGAATCGCAACCGCCGCCTTTACTTGCCTCTACAAATGAAGGCATTGATATTGTTTTTCTCATCGAGGACAAGATCATATCCGCTGAGAGATGCTTCTTTACTTCTGATCTTACTTTTATTTTATCCCGTCTCATTGAATTCTCAAACCTCTTGCTCATGATGTTTGAATTTATCCTGACGATTCTTGTTAGGCTGGGCACAAGTCCCTCTGATATTCATGCCTATACGCTGGATAATCATATGCAGTCATGACAGGTTGGTGAGTTTCTCATTGCATATCATGAACAAAAAAAGCACGTTTCATTTGAATCAGTATGCTTAACATTTTGCTTTTGGGTTTCAACGATTTAGCACCACAGTTATTGTATTTATCATTAGTTCAGTCCCATCTAAAGACCGGGCAAATTATCCTGGGCTTTTATTATAATTAACTGATACTTATCCTTCATAATGCAGATACAAGCTCCTCCTTAGTGATGAAAATCTTGTTGGTTGCAGTACTATGAATATCTGAAGATTTAAATCCGGAAGTTGTAAGTTGTAACCTGAAGAATCTTCTGCGAGAATGCAGTCTGCCTCCCTGTGTTGAGCCGGATCTCTACGACATCTACATTCACCCATTATTTTAAATCAGCCGGCCATCGCGTGATAAATATAAAATTCGGGGCTGAAATTTCTCCGTTGTCATAAGACTGATAGGCAGTTGTCGCCAATCACATCGGCGGAGCTCGCTGTGGTTCAAGGTCGCCCTCAAATTTTTGCGGCGTGCCATATTTTGATTGATGTTCGTGGGTAGGTGGGTAAGCTGCTTTCATTGATCAAAGATTGGGACCTGTTACTGTGGAAACATTTATCAGAATTGTGAACGTAATTATCCATCAAGATTCAAGAGAGAAGAAATTGATCTTGAAAAAATCTCTCTCGAGAATAAAATCTCGAAGAAGCTGAGAACCAGAGCAACGTACAATGGATGTGAAATCATGACCGTTTTCGTGCGACAATATGAATCCAAATTCATCGTTTGATTTGTCTATTTCAGAAACAGCCCTGATGATACGACAATAAAATACCGGGGAGAAAAAACGCACTAACTAATTAGAAATCTGCTTGGACGAGAATGAGGAGTATTTTTGGACTTATTTGAATGATTTAGATTTGAAAATTTAAAGGTTTATCTTAAATAAATAAAAGTATCTCTATTAAAAATAATAATTCGAAAAACTTTAAAAAAATTACATAAAAGTTTTCATCTGGGCTTTCCCCTCTTAACCTTCTCGTAGTTTAAGCCCTAGTTACCACCCTGAAAAAAGTCCTAGTTTGCTAATAGTGTTTTTAGCTCTTATCACATGCCATGCCTCCTGAACTGAAAGCCAAGACCATATGTTAGGATATTGCTGGCAATATAACGCGTGAAACTCAATGGTTCATTTGTACACGTGTTGCATGTTTCAAGATGTTTTCACTGTTTACAGAATTCTATAATTTACGATTCAAAAGCTGATCAACCTAATCTTGCAGAAGAAGAAATAGCAGTCGGTACAAGAATCGTCCAGACCACTTGGGATCATTTTAATCATCAGCTCTACAAAACAAATCATGAATTCGAATCATCTGCCTGTGACCTCCAAGTCTCCTAAGAAGGGAGCGAGTTGGCTTCCTGTAGCAGAGCTATCCGTGTCATGGGTGAAGGAAGGAGGCAAGGCAGGCCACACAAAAGCAGGTCTTTGCTTGGGTACTTCTGGTGGAGCTGCTTCCCCCGTAAGAACCTGCATAACAGTCCTCATGGAAGGCCTGTGGTGTGGGTTTGGATGACAACACGCCAAACCCAGAACAAGCACATCTTCCACCTTTTCCTCTTCTGTTCCTTTCTTATTCTACCATCCACTGCGGCTAGTAATTTTCCCTTCTCGTAAAGCTCCCAAACCCAGTGCACTATGTTATTCTTGTACTCGTCCACCTGAGAATACAGATTCCCTTGTCTCATTCCGCACACGACTTGTAATACAACAACGCCATATGCATACACATCCGTCTCCACTGTGGCCCTCCCTGTAAGGAATGTTTCTGGAGCCATGTAGCCGGGTGTTCCTGCAATTGCTTTTGTCGAGTGGTGAGTTTCGTCTCTCTTCTGAATGGTACGAGCCAGTCCGAAGTCTCCCAGCTTGGCAGTGAAGTCCGAGTCCAACAGTATATTGCTGGCTTTTATGTCTCTGTGAAGCACCCTTTTCTCACATCCGTTATGCAAATAGTCTAGTGCCTGAGCCACCCCGTATATGGCATTGTGTCTTGTCTCCCAGCTTAATATTGATCCATCTTTGCCCCCAAGCTTCTCATCATCGTATAGGTAGTTGTCTAGGCTCCCGTTAGGCATGAACTCGTAGACAAGGAGGAGTTCTCGGCTCTCATAGCACCACCCGATCAATTTCACCAGATTTCTGTGATGAAGACTTCCTATTATCGTCACTTCTGCGACGAACTCTTGCTTGCCTTGACGTGAATCCTTGGAGACTCTTTCACAGCAACCTCGTTGCCTCCCAAGAACCCCTTGTAGACCGTTCCAAAACCACCTTCCCCAAGCTTGTTTTGAGGACCGAATCCGCCCGTTGCTTTCCTGATTTCTCCTAGTCGGAACTTCTTTGGGGCCATAGAACTGTGCTGAATCTGATCCTCTATTCTCGGGTACGCTTCGTCTGACATCTCCATACGGCGTTTCTTTTGCCAGAGCAAGAAGAAGATCACCCCGCCTAAGATGACCAATAGTACTGCAGGAACTGTGATCCAAACCCACAACAGCTGTGGATCATCATCTGCAATTCTTGTACCGTAGAATTCCCAAGCTCTCACACAGTTCAGCTCTGTATAGTTACTTGTTGAAGCTGAGAAACCCAAGAAAATCTCTTCTGGTAGATATGAAGATAGATTGAGAGGTGGAGAAGTTAGCAGAGTCTTCATGTTCGCAGTTCCATTCATGGAACCCAAGACAGATATTACATCTTCAGCATATTGAACTCTGATCGTGACATTTATACCCGATGAAATAGTAATCCCCAAGTCTGGTAGTGAAACGCGCGTCATGGAGTTGATACTATTGACGTTCACACCAAGATGGTTATCGGGCCCATCTTCCTCGGAGTTTTGTCTCGTGTCGAACTCTACTGCCAAAATCCCAGGTTGAGAAGTGCCATTGGTTGTAGCATTTACGATTCCAAGCCATTCTCCGGCACTGTTTTCTGGAAGAGTGATGTCTCCAGTTAATATAAAGGCCAAGCCTTCACCTCCCGGAGAAGTTTGGTTGTTGATATTTAGCACGAAGGTGGTGTTAAACTCAGCAGTTTGGTTTTTGCTCTTGCTCCATAGTCTGTATGGCCTTCTGTAAAAAGCTCGGCCAGAATAATCTTTTATCTCCCCACGAATATCAGGGGTTACTTGGATGGCGTCCAGGTATATTTTTGAGTTCTTGCTCAAAATTAAATTTGGCTCATCCGAGGGTTGGAAGGTTGGAAAATTGAAAGAAAAGCAGCTAACTTGAACAAGGGCAACGATAATGAAGATTACTGCTAATAATTGAGACTCAGCTACCCAGGAATATCGAGGGAACATTGTTTCTAGTCATGAAAGGGCCAAGAATGGCCTCAACCAGAGCTTGTTGAAGCACAACGTCTCAAACGCACGAAAGCTTACAAGGGAGATTGAAAGGCAAAGAACAAAAGGCTTATTCATCCTCCTCCTCCTCTGTGTGAAGTGCTGAATATATTATATGGGTAGGTAAGGTCAAGTAACCAAAATTGACTAGTCTTAAATAACATATTGGAAGCTTCCTCCTCAGTCCTCATGCCATCATTTCATGCTGTTCAACGGTGCATATATGTGATTTTCGACGCTATTTCTACGAGAACCTATGTAGGGCCCATTAGAAGTATTGGGTTATAATATCTTTAGCTCGTACGGCCGACGCTGAATCCAGATAGCTAACAGGGGCTAGTATTGGTGTGAACGCAACTTTCTTGGTAGGGACTACCAAAGATAACATCAAAATAAGTTACTATTCTTAGACTCCATCGGTATGATGAATGATTCTTTAATCTTCACAACAATCACGCAAAATGATAAATTATTGAGGCGGCACAAACCGTGTTGGAAATTTTGTAGTATTAGTATGTGAACTTCTCAACGGAACTTGCTCGTATACAGAGTAGTCATGATGTCTACTTGGGTTGGGGACAGCATACATAACACTGTAGAAAGTTGCTATATCGTCCAATCAATTTGCTAAACTTTTGTATGTTAATATCCTTAGTTGTTATGGGGCATATCAAAAGGGAATTGGATCATGTGTTCACCATGAAGAAAGAGCTTGTAATTTCACAAATCTTAAATAACGTAGGCATTGCTCTGCGTCAAAATAGAAAACCAACGCGTGAAACAAGAAATATTACATGGACGTCAAGTTGGGTGGAATAATCCTGCTGAAGCAAGAATGAGGAAGGCGCGTGATGAACTCAACGAATTAAAAGGAAGAAAAATCAGACATTTATGTATATAATAATTAAAAAGAAGAAGAAAGAGGAAACTTTGCAGAATGGAGAGTTGTTGAATATGGACAAATATAAAATATAGCCGCCTATTTGTTTTCGCTTTGTTTTTATTTAGGGGGAAAAATCAAGTAGGGCCTGCCTTTTTCGTGGGTAGGAAGTTCTTTTTAATACAAAAAAATTTAAATGAGTTGAGTTTCACGAGTTCAGCAAAACCAAGACATATCTTTAGACTCAGAGGATATTTATAAAGGTACTTACAAATCGCTCACTAATAAAGTCTTCATATTAGCAGCGAGATTCAAAATTACGAATTTATGAGTTATGAGCTGACCCTGGTCAACTGAAATTTTGCAAAAAGCTAGCAGACGTTATCTAAAGGATCCTAGGCGAGGCACGTGATAATTAAGGAAGACTGGAAGAATGAGCAAAAGTAGAACCAATGGATGGACCGAAAGAAAATTGACAGGCACAACTATGAAGAGTCGTTGTTTTAAAAGGATAATAATAATGGAGCTATGGCTAATGACTCAGATGTGTCACGATCTTGACAGTAATAGAACCATTACTTCCTCTCTGCAGTGCCTTGGCTTGACCGGTGCTGTTTTGTGAAGAAGACCACCACAATTATCCCCACGAACAAGCAAGGGAGATCATTTGACGACGATCGCGATGAGAATGAATGATCAACTACCTCTTGTTATTGTCCTTGGATCAAGGCCATAATTGCAGCAACAAAGTTGTTGTCGATCGACTCGTCTGTATTGGTTATCGCATGATTTGTGAAGAACATAGCTGCAGCAACGAGCCTTAAACTGCAATACAATTCCGATGGCTGTATATGGCTCAAATGCTCACTCTTCTCCATTTTGTGATGATTTTGCTGAACTATATATAGCTCACACACACACCCTTACCTTTTTTTGTGATAATTTTTTCAAGCAATTATCTCATTATTTCAACGTTTCCATACGTTACGTATTATAGGTGAACATCAATATGGCCTAAATGCAGAGTCATTAATATCGTCTCACCGTATTCACCATATAAGATGGGTGGGAGAAAGCAAACTTTTCACACATGGTATATTTTGCTCCAAGTCTTCAACGTTGTCTCAATAGAAAGAGCAAGATTTGTTAAAATTAAAAAATGAAAAGGTTATTTGGAGCCTCAGCACCCATATAAATAATAAAATTGAAAGGAATAGAATTGTGACTCCTCCTTTTTTTTGGTGGGAAAGGTTCAAATGAGTTGAGTTTTGGAGGACTCGTTAAAACCAAAACATACTTCGAGATTTAAAAATTCTTATAAAAATATTTATAGATTGCTTACTAATAAAATTTTTATATCGACAGTAAGATTTGAACTCATAACCATATAGGATATAAGCTGACATCTTACTTGGAGCAACTCTTCTTGTTGACTTGCTAGGAAAATGAAGTCCGCAGCACGAGTCTGTGGGTTAAAGTGGGATAGAAAATGACAGTCACAAGGGGATGGATTGGGCCATTCATTGGGCGGAAAATGCAATTCTTGTTAATGCAGTTCATGTAATGTGAAAATGCCTTCTCTCTTTTAACCAAAAAAAAAAAGCCTTCTCTCGCTTTGATGATGAGAATTCAAAAGGAAGAACAACTGCACCATATTTTAATTTTTATAACGCTATAAACTAATTGGGGTGAATCTTTTTTTTAAAAAAAAAAACAAACAAAACTTCGTTTGACTAGTTTTAAAATTAACATTACAGAAGAAATACTTCAAATTTTACGTAATTCAGTCGTTCACATCAGTAACTGCATGGGATATGAGAACCAATAGAGAGTAAAATATACCTGGCATATTATTACTAAATTAAGCTGCTATAAATAAAATAAATCACCTCTCTTCACCCGCAAGCCTTCCTACAGACCATTAAAATTGCCGAACATCTAAGTACTGTATGATAGATTTTCTGACCCAAAAAAAAAAAAGTACCGTATGATAGATAATCAATTCTGAAAACTCGCCGAAGAAAGAGAGAGAAGACGAGATATCTACCGTCCGATTGGGAGTCCTGGGGGTAGCCATATGTGTGTGCGCGCGTTCGAAGGGTTCGGAGAACCCAAGATCAGGCTTCGTGAACTGCCTAAGTAATGCCAATCTTAGCGAAGAACTAGAAATAAAATATTGCCAATTTTAGCTTAGTGGAGCCCATACATCCTGATTTCTCCAAGAAACCTACGTTTTAGCACTAAACTCTAATATTCTCCGTCGCTCTTTCCTCGTAGTCCACGAGCCGTCGCCACACAGAAATAATGAATTATGCTTTAATTAATCGGGTGACTTTGATCTGATCTCCTCGTCCCTACCGTAGGATGTTTGTCTTCATAATCAAGGCATTTCAACTTCCTCTATGCAATACTATTGGCTTGGCCCGATGTATATGAAAATGAAAAAGAAAAAAGAAAACAGAGAGAGAGAGAGAGAGAGAGAGCACTTATGAAATGTAAGGATTAACCAAGTATTAGTTCTTAGTTTCTAAGCGGACTAAGATGGCCAGGAAAAAAATATGTACATGCATATTTTAAAGTAAGGCAAAGCAATAATTCATCATGTTGTTAAGACTTACAAATGTCTTTTGCATGTGGTGTAGCAAATATTAAAGTACTTACAGCTAACAGTATCTAGCGAAAACCAATAACATTGGTGTAATCAATCAGAATATGCATTCTGGCCGGCCGAGACCGAGAATATGCGGGGATCTTTCTAAAGACAGCTCCTACTTTTGCCTACTGCACACTCAATCCTCACTGCCAAATTATTATATGTTGGTTTGACGAATGAACCAAACATCCGAGAATCCCAAGGACTGGCCTGCCACCCTCATATATAGCTTTAACAGACGTATGGAGACCCTCAACACCTTTCAATTAATATTTCCACTGCAAAATCAGAAAAAGACAAGCCAGCATGCGCTCTGTATAAAAATGCAAGTTAATTTAATTACTTCCACTAAAAAGAGAAGATGGAATCGCCACGGAAGGACCCCAGTGTCTTCCACTTTAGCCATCCACATCCACTGGAATTAACAACTTCAACCCCAACCTTAAACGCTGCCTGCTCTGGGTGCAAGCTCAACGTTGCGCCTGGTAAGAGCTATTACGGCTGTAAATCCTGTGCCTTTTGTCTTCACTATTTCTGCTACAAATTGCCCATCATAACTCAGCACCCTGCTCATTCTTCTCACGATCTGGTCCTCCTCCTTGTACCGTCATCCTCTGCCGCTAGCAATGGCACCGTCAAGTGCCTGGCCTGTGGCCACCATATCACTGCCTTCTGCTACCACTGTGCTGAATGTAGCATCTACTTCCATGCATTCTGTCTGGCGCTCCCTCTTTCCCTCTCAACCGCCTATCATCCTCACAAACTCAAGCTCGAATTTTCACCTCCTTACGACTTCTTTTGTGATGTGTGCAAGAAGACCAGCTATAATGGGTGGCTATACCGATGCAACTTGTGTGAATTCGACATGCATCTAGCTTGTGCTGTTCAGAATTTAGAGCCCCACTCTCTTCACCACCCTTCTTTCTCCCAGTCCAACACTTTGTTGAGAAAAATTGGGAGTCCTCAATTGACCCATATGAAGTCCAATGGAGGTGTGGATGATAATAGTATAGGCTCGGAGATCTTGCATTTGTTGGCACGGCAAATGGGAGGCGAAATTAGAGGGAACACTCGTGGCAAGGTTCTTGGATGGGATAAGAGGATATCCAGTCCAAGACAAAGTAGGATGGCAAGTGTAGAGTTGCAGCTAACAGAACAAAGTTCTGCTAGAGAGTCGGGAAATTTAGAGGCAAGAACAACACTTCAAGATAAGTTGACCCCGCGTTCTGATGTTAGCACACCTCCAAGTTACCAATTTAGCGATGCTTGTTTTTCAATAGACTTGGCAAAGTCGTATGCGGCAACCAGAAGTCTGGCTGAAGCAAGAGGAAATAGTAGAACGACAAGCAATTCTGGAGAAGTCAAAGAACCACTTGTTTTTGCAAATTGGCCAAGCTTTAATTCATACAATGCGGCGCAACAAAGTAGATTGAACACGTCGTTCTTAAATGGAAGGCGGACTAGTTCTTTTGCGGAAACAAGCCAGAAAGCCGTAGAACACAAGCTCTCCGACCCAGACTCAGTAAGTTGACGGGACGCATGCATCTTTATGAATTTCCGTACGATATTTTCATTCAGATAATCAGATCTATTTCCTCACCAGACAACAAATAACCCAAATTATTCCCCACACCTCTGTAGATTTTACTGCTGCTATCACCGCTGTCTTTTCATTTATAAGAACATTCAACAGGGGAAAATACTTATTAATATTGAAGGAAAACGAAATGAGCAGTGAGACCAAATGACTCAGAACTCATGTCATGTTGCATTTATTTGCGAATCTTGCAGGAAATATACAACAAAGATCGTTCATGCTGGAAGAAGTACGTATCCTGCTGCCTCTAATGTGACACGGGCATGGGAAAGGAGTTCAATTTTTCAAGTATATATCGTGCATGAGCATTGTGTGCTTAAGGAGAAAATGTGGTGACGATCGAGTTTCTCAGGAATGGGTAGCTACTTCCTCGATGTGAAAAAATCATGATGTACTACTAATTTAGCTAAACGATTTATCTTATAGTTGGAGGTCGGAAACTAGGGTGCGCATTAATCGGAGAGATCCTTCTCCTAGTTTCTCGTTTTCTCAACGGTAGCTGAACGGGTTTAGAGTTGTTGCTGGCCCTGCTAGATCTGCATGGCCATCGTTCTAGCTGGCGGTATGCAAATTTTGACCTCGTGAATACTTTTCACAGTTGTGATCTCGCTGACAGTAAAGATACAAGACGTGATTGAATTATGTAATGATGAGTGTGGCTTACGAGAAATTTGAAGATTGAAAGATTTCTACTTTGCGTGAGAAAATATACACGCACACACAGCGTCCAATGAAATTTGGAGTTGGTGGCTTTCGTTGATTTAGTCTCAACAGCAACAAGCCCTGTACCGAGACGAAAAGTCATCTTTCATTTTGTTTTTATTTGGACGCCGGTCAAGCCTCAAAGTTTTGAGCGGGTGTATATATATTTCAGAATCATTAAATATCTGCAATACTGTAACCAGAAAACCAAATTTAGCGCAATCTTTTGGCGTTTAATGGAATAACAACGAAGAGCTAGATGAAGGGAACAGGGATCACTGGCACGTTTATTGGCGTTTGCATTGTCCAGTTTTTGAAGAGGCTTCTGCTGCCTCTTCACTCCACAAAGTATAGCATTTAATTAAGAATGAAACCCAAGAAAAACAGTAACAACCAAAGGCTATACCCACCACAACCGCTGGCTCGGAAAACATCAAAACGACATGGCCGGACCATGCACGTCTAAAATATGTTGGGACTGCTGGAAGTACCTGGATTGATTCGCTGCGGCAACCAAAGTAGTACAGAATTTTAGGCGATTAACTCATGAGCCCTTTTTAATATTCTGGAGCCTAAGAGGGAAGAAGTAATAGTAGCAGAGCATATCTGGAAAAATTTAACCCAGGTAACAAGAAGGACAAAGACAGCTGCGAAATTAATAAGGTTACGACTACAATCCAAACGGAGAAATTAATATTGCTTCAGCATTTTCCATCAACCCCACCTAACGATTAGGGTCCCATCCCGATCTGTCTCTCCTACATATATGGTTGTTCCCCCTCGCTCTCTCATCCAAAACTCAACTTTCATATCTGCATCGAATCATCCGGAGATCTTGACGAGGCCATATCATGTGTTCTAATTATGCGACTCATCACGGGCTTCTTGCTTTCCTATCATCATCGCCATTAATCACCGTTTATCATTTGGACGTCGTAATCGTTTTCATCAACTTCTTTTCTTCGTCGCAGCACGGGCTGTTCAGTAAGAAACAACCCGGCATCAATAATTATAACGTACTCTCTGCCTCGATATATGTATATATATTGTCGCTATTCTATGGAGGGCCTAACAAGGAAAGAGCGAGCGAGACCAACAGTTTCTAAGTCCTACTTTTTGAAGCAAATGGTGTCTACACAACCAGATCTCCTGGTGTAACGTGTAAAAATGGGGATCCATCAAATTATGAGTAGTGTGATGTATGTAAACACATGACAGCCATTTAAGCCTGGGCCTGCGGGTGGGGGGGCCCACTGGTGGGCGAAGATGAAATCAGTTATCAAATGATTGTGATCGTGATCGTAAATTCTATCATGAAAGAGGGCAACAATTCAATTCCTTGTGGCTCTCCCCAGAAGGCACCAACCTCGCCATCAACAACTCCAGACCCATATTAATTCCTTTACAACCTGTGGTGGCCGGTCGGTTGCTTTTTGCCTAAACAGAACAACACAAATTCGGCAGATTCTTGTGCGCAAATATAAACAAATAGGAAGCGCTTGGGATGCTGCTTTGGTTAAAAAGAAGTGAGATAAAAATATAGGTACGAAGTACGAACGAGAGGGATGGTTAGAAATTAAAATGGAGTATTAACACATGGCATATGGGCTTGTAATTGTGTGTGTGTATGATTATTGGTGGGGCGTCTAGGCCACATGCCATTGAATAATATATTTATAAAAAGTGGGTGTGAGGATGTGAAGACTGGCTTTGCCGGTTGGGCCCTCTGGCTTTTTTCTCAGTATGCCTTTTCTCTACTCGTAGTGCTCTCTTGCATATTGCCAAACCACCATAAAGGTCCTCGTCCTCACCCCTTCCCAGTTCCCACCAATCATCCACAGCTTATTCCACCATGTGAGGTGTGATCGTCCCTTCATTTCTCACCTAAAACTTACACGCAATCCATTTCAAACAATTGGCTATCGACCTTGTTTGTTTATGCTTCCTTTTCTCTCTCGTTCCCTGTAAACAAATGCTACTTTTGTTTAGCTGCCTACCAAAGTTTCTTATTATCTTTTCCCTCCTAATTGGCCACAGCCTTCTTGATCACAGGATTTTAGTTACTTATTCCAACCGCAGCAACACACACCTTTCTCGTTTTGTTATTACAAGAATCTCAAGATTTGTTGTTCAACGATGACTTTGAACATGATTGTACCTTCAATGGCTATACATATGTTAGTCAGTTCGGTTATTTTACGTAGATCCATGAACCATTGCGTACAAGTCATAATTCCTGTGGTTTGTGTACGAAGTGCCGTATTAGGGTCTCCATCCCAACAATCTCTATCTTGAACAATCTGTTCGGCCCTTTGTTCTTAAATATCACTATGGTAATTTTTACCCATAAAAGACAAAATAGTCC